TCAAAAAATTTCGAAAAGATACCAAAGGATCCCGAACAAGAAACTGCAATAAATAAAAATCGGTGTAAAAATGTGTACTCTGGCAAAGGTAGACTTTTCGATAAACAAATAATTAAAAAAAAATGATTTTTTAACAAATATCGTTTTTAAATCTCAGTACCGTCTTGATGCTCGAAGAGGTCGGATGCGTCAAGATCCCTCCTAAGTGGCGTATACGGTACAAACGTAAAATACCAAAAACGAAACAAAGTATCCGGAAATGTCGGTGATCGTTAATGAATAATAAAAATATACATAAATAAACAAACGTCCCAGCCGTCGAGTGAATAAGTCGACGCAGCAGAGGCAGAGTAAACGTAAAACGTGTAACGATAAAACCATAACCAACAAATAAACCTTCATAGTGCAAACTACTATAGTGTAAAAAAAATACTGTGAGTACAGACTACAATACGGTCAATAATTAGTTGACGGCCAAGTGAAAAGGAGGAGTGAAGTGACAGGTGCAGGCGAACATAGTGAAACGGTCAAAAGTTTTAAGCGTTGAGTGACAAGAAAGTGTCGAGTGACAAGTGTCAGTGCCTGAGCGGTCGCACCATCGGTCAACAGGTCGATCTCCACAGGCCAAACAAAAGAGGACATACAAGGGAGGAACAGGCCACCTGCAAATATTTGCTAAGTATTTCCAATTCTTCCGCATGACCTAACACATAATTTGCAAATTGAACTAAACAAGGCACATTGCCTAACTAAAAAAAACAATAATCATCGGCATTAAATAAATAAAAGTCAATTTTCCAAGAAAAACCAAACAGCCGATCGCGGACACGCACCAAAGTTGAACAGGGCAATAAAGCTGTCAACATAACAATTCAAGTAAAATAAACCGAGACCAAATAAATTTGACACTTAAGACATAAACAACATAAACTAAGAAAAATAAACAAAGTTAAAAAAAGCACTATAATCAAACTCCATGAAATTTGTAAACACTCTTGACTTCATAGTAAAAGTAAAAAAAATACCCCCCACTGGGAACTGCCTTATCGCAGCGATTGCACATCAGCTGTTTAACACGGTGATAGGTTCGTTACGCGAAACTGAAACAACAGCAGAGACTAGACAAATATTAAACAACCACTTACGTAATAACCTAGGAACGTACAGACCCTACATCGAGGGCGCAATAAATGAACTAAGCAGTCGTTATGAACACATAAGTGACAAAACAGGACAAATTAATGCGTACCTAAACGACCACGGTAATTACGGCTTCTGGGCCGGACTGGAAACAATACTAGCCGCCTCAGACGTATACAACGCAACAACATACTACAAGCCACCCTTAAACTAGACCTTACAGACAAAAAAGTCGGGAGACCATGCTTCACATTTCATGACACGTTAGCACAAAACATGCACTTCTCACAAATTAACAAGACCAGTTGGGAGCAACTTAGCAACAATAAAAACAAAATAAAAAAAACAACCGACACACTTTACCAAGTTCAGGAACTATCCGACACGGATAATGACAATAATGAACAAGACGAAGACCTCGACTAGGTAACTACACACTGCAGTAATAACAACTCCCCAACTCCAAATAGTAATCCCAAATGTTTGGAGTAATATTAATCGACTGGTCTAGGGGGATTCCGCGTCGTACTTAGTTTTAAGTCGGCGTAATTGTCCCCCAAAAACCAACACCCTCCCGTCCCTTCTCCATACCCCACTGAGCGTATAGCATAGGCTCGGCGAACCCGGGAATGGCTATTATAACTATTCGCCTCTCGCTCTCGAGCTCCAAATAGGGGACAGTACGAAACGCAATGGACATTCGCACCCAGCAAACACGGGTGAAGCCGCGAAGTTGCAAGGGGAAGAACAAAAATCGGCGTAAGTAAACATAGGCCTGTACGGGGTTCGAGAGTCAAGAGGAAATGGGGCTGGTTATACGTCTCTTATACTCATACTCATACTCAATAAACAAACAAGTGCAAGAAGTGCGAAAATTGTGAGATAACGCCGTAAAAGTGAGCAAGTGAATAAGTGCCTAATTGAGGCTGGGCAGCAACGATAAGTCAACCGGCGCACCTGGATCGGAGCGTTCCAAAAATGTCGTTTTTCTATGCAAAAACCTACAGGAGAAGGCCACCCCGCGAAAGACAAAGCATCAGGTTTATAGCCTAATAATCAAGCTAAGTAATTCTTCTAATTGCATGTCTTACCGTATAATCGTTAAATGTTTATATAAGCATTTCACAATGTTGCAAAAAAAATCTAAGAAATCTATTCGTCTTAAAAATTAAATTTAAAAAATAATAAGAACATTTCCGTAACTGTTAAATAAACAACCTAATTTTCTCATAGTAGACAAACGTAAACAACCAGCGTAAAAGGCGTAAGCAAATAAACCAATTCAAGCAAGAAGACAAAAATTTATCATAAATAAATTTAGGGTCACACGGCAGATCCCATGGGCTGCAGCAAGCATTTTCCGTTACTTGTCTCCATTAACATTGCCCGTATTCATTTCATTAAACATAACATTTATTTTACTTGAAAATGTTAAAATAACTTTAAAATATGATTATGTTTAGAACATATTTTACTCTTTAAATAATTGTTTTGTTTTTAATTACTATCATTGCAAAATTGTATTAAAAAGTGTTAAAAATTCTTACACGGGCAATGCTAATGGTGATAGGTATCGTTAAAGTGTTTATTGGGATATCTTTAAAACCTGCGAAGGGCGCGCGGCGTGGGGCAATAAGTCTGTCAACGGCAAGTGCGTAAAGCGGTCCCAATCGAGACCGAAAATAAACACTGGACTGACAGAGTAAACTAACATTGATCACATAATTCTAACACATTAAAAAAAGGGCCTAATAGCCAAACTCGAGATTTGTAAACATTAGACGACAGAATGATCGCGCTTGTGATTTGTTGGACTAGCGAATAAATCCAATGCCTTGGAATTTGATAAACAAAGACGGAACTCTACCACAAAACGTGCTTGGGACAAAAATTATTAAAAACAACTGACACACTTTACCAAGGGCAGGAGCTATCTGACCAGGACACGGACAATGACAATAACGAACAAGACAAAGACCTCGACTACACCCCTGCAGCGAAATAACAACTCCCCAACTCCAAATAGTAATCCCAAATGTTTGGAGTAAAACTAATCGACTGGTCTAGGGGGATTCCGCGTCGTACTTAGTTTTAAGTCCCCCAAAAACCAACTCCCTCCCGTCCCTCATCCACACCCCACCGAGCGTATAGCATAGGCTCGGCGAACCCGGGAATGGCTATTATAACTATTCGCCTCTCGCTCTCGAGCCCCAAATAGGGGACAGTACGAAACGCAATGGACATTCGCACCCAGCAAACACGGGTGAAGCCGTGCAGTTGCTGGGGAAGAACAAAAATCGGCGCAAGTAAACATAGGCCTGTACGGGGTTCGAGAGTCAAGAGGAAATGGGGCTGGTTATACGTCTCTTATACTCATACTCATATACTCAATATCGTTTTTAAATCTCCAAATAGTGCCGATCAAAAAACTTTAACCAGTTTTTCGTTCAAAATTGAAAACTACTAAAAAGCCTAAATTAAACAACATTTTAAATATTCTCTAAGCGTCATTTTATTTAATTTTATTAAAAATCTATTTTTTTATAAAAGGTTAATAAGAATGCCATTCTGTAACCTGATAAACGTAGACATATCTAAAAAAAAAAGCGTGTTATGCCAAAATCATGAATTTACGCTTTTGCTTTATTAAAAATAAGCGATTTTTGGCTCACCCTGTATATATCAAATGATGTGAACAGTATTAAAAAGTATTCTTTAAGTCTCCTAAATAATATACTTTAATTTTATAAAAATCGGTGTACAAATGTGTACTCTGATATCAGCATGGTTTTCCTACTAAAGTAGTAGTGCCCACAATCCGACACTGATGAGGACCAAAAGTCCGAAACAGGCTGTCTGTCGGTGCCTGGTTCAAAGCAAATTCGAAATAAAAGCACAGTGAGCGAGGTGATTAGCATTTTCACATATTGATAGGCACTACTACTTTAGTAGGAAAACCATGATGATATCATACGTTGAGCGAGCCACCCTACGGCAAAAATCTTTTGAGCCAATAACGAAGAATGATTTCGTCTATGTGTTTAATGCAGAGTACAATTTCTGCTGAACACATAGTTTGGCTACGTCCTCTGGACGGTAGATGTCACTGAGAACTCTCGTTCGCTGTGTTTTCACCGCTGTTCTGTGGCAATTCTTGCTATAAGAGCGGCAGGTGCATTTTGTTTCGAGTGTGCTTCGGTCCAACAAGGCTACCCGACACTGATGAGGACCAAAAGTCCGAAACAGGCTGTCTGTCGGTGCCTGGTTCGAAGCACATTCGAAATAAAAGCACAGTGAGCGAGGTGATTGGCATTTTCACAAATGTGTACTCTGTCAAAGGTACACTTAGAAATAAACAAAAATTATAAAAAAAATCATGAATTTTCAAAAAATTTCGAAAAGAGGAGCAGCTAGGATTTTGGTAAATATCATCAAGTCACCAAAGGGTCCCCGAAACTGCAATCAGTTTTTGGCGGCATTTTTATGTGACTTAAACTTCGTTCAGGCACACCGTGTATAAAATGTTTATTTGAAGTTTAAAAAATAATATTTTTTTTCGAGGAATAGTTTTAGAGCTATGAAACAATATTTTTAAAACGTCATAGAAAATTCAATCCTTTTAAATAAATAAATATTTAAATAAAATAAAAGTAAAGAAAATAACATTCAATTTGTTAACCCTTTTAACAACTAAACTCAAAAACTCCTTGTCAATTTTTTTTTTGCATTTTTATTTATTTATGCATTGGAAATTTAATAGCGTGTTTTTATAAAAACACAGAACAATTCTGTTTTCTAGCCTCATAATGTATTATTTAAGGGTGGCATACTAGACCTTGTGTTTATATATATATATATACCTCTACAAGTGCGTCATCTATGATATGATCCCTTCTAACTTTTAACCTTAGATAAGGATGTGATGATGGCTGCCCTGTAATAGCTTGTAAAATGCTGATTCTTCTTTCTGAATACATACGTATTCTATTATCAAAATAGAGTCCCATTATTTTTGTAGCCGGAGTCAAAATAAATGGATAGTCCATGAAACTAAATTTCCCTAAAAAAATAAAATAATTATATATGTCATAACACAAATTTTGAGGTAATTTTTGGTGAATTTTATTCTAAATAAATTAGTTCATAAACACTTTTTTAGATGTTTACAGGTGTTTCAAAATAAAAAAGTTATTTGCTTGTGTTTAATCTTAAAATTAAACAATAATTATTTAATTGACCTACTTCGGTCATCTAAGCGAACAAACCGCGTCAGCAATAACATAACAAAATACAACCTTCTAACATTAAGATGTTTGTAAAATAAGTATGTAAAATAAAATATCCCATTTGTATATAAGGAAACAATTTTATAATTAAAGTCAGTATTAACAAGACTATTGTGTTTTACTCAACTACCCACTAGTTTCCAAGCCTTAACTGGAGCGTGAGGCTGCGCTCCGCTAGTGGGACATTATTACAAAGATTCGGGATCCTAATTAAGATCCGACTCTTTTCATGGTCCTTCGAAACTAAAATTGTACCAGTCCAATCTAGAAGTGGTGCAGTTTCATATCTAGAAAATAATCAAATCGACACAACTTAAGATGACGAACACAAACCCAAAAATGAACGAGCTGGTGGCCAAACAACAGGTCACTGGGAAGGCCATCCTTCAACTATACACCAACATGAAGAAAGATTCAACCTCAAGAAAGTCAACTGAATACTTCAAACGCCGCACTGAGGCGTTGAACGAACATTGGGCCAATGCGGAACAAACTCATGATGAGATAATTAAAATCAAAGAATTATCTCATGAATATTGGACATTAGAATATTATAAACAAATCGAAAAATCGTATCGGGACTGTTATAAGTACATTCAGGACTCAACAACATGTATTAACGAATCCAGCGAAGACGAAGATACACGAGTAAAATACCAGATGCAACGCATACAGGATCTTCAGCAAATAATGAACAGAATTGACGACGCATTAGCCCATGACCAGACTATAGATAGGTACGAAATTCTGTCTGAAAAATTAATTAATCAATGGCAAGTAATAGTATCAGCACATTTTGAAATCCGAGCCGACGACACACTACGTCAGGCATCGTATTTCACGAACAACTCGTATACACTAATCGAAATGGAATGCGAAGACCGCATTTGTGACCTACGACAAAAAATACGTAGGTTAAAACAAACAGAAAGCGACAATGATAGAAGCACATCAATCAAACTACCACAGGTCCAGATTCCAGTTTTCGGAGGTAATTACGAGGAATGGGCCAATTTCGAAGACACATTTACGCAAATAATCCATAACAACCGACGTTTGTCCGACGTAGAAAAAATGCAGCATCTAAAAACTCACCTTAAAGGCGAAGCAGCGCGTGCCATTCAACATTTTCCCATAACAAATGCTAATTACGGAGCAGCATGGGAGCAGCTTAAAAAAAGGTACAATAACAAGAGGTTAAAATTAACAAAGTTACTTAATAAAATGATGGAGTTCCCGCCAATTCACCATGAATCAGCCAGAAAACTACAAGAACTCCACGACACAATGAGTGAATGCATGGCTGCAATTGAGCTAATGGGAATAAAAACAGACTCAGGGGGTCCAATAATAAGCTGTTTGATCTCGAAAAAATGGGATGCTGAAACAAACAGGTTATATGAGTCTTCTATCAAGGATCCGTTGGTAATTCAATGTTTAGAAGATCAAATCAACTTTTTGCGAAACCGTTTTCAATCCTTAGAGGCAACACCCAGCAGTCCCAGATTGACGGCGACAATTGCAGTACAGAACAAGAGGCAGCAGCCATTTCATGGGCATAAGATCGTGTGCAGTTTTTGCCAAGACCAACATACGATAAGTTATTGCCCAAAGTTCAGGGGCCTGTCAGTGACAGCACGAAGCCAGGCTATAAGAGAAAAAAAATTGTGCATTAATTGCCTATGGCATGATGCAGCTGCAAAATGCACATCAGAAAGAAGATGTGCGGTGTGCTCGAGACGTCATCATACGCTCTTGCACTTTGAAAAGACGGAACAGAAAACCCAATCAAAGGTAGACAACCAAAAATACAAGGCAAGCAACCACGTGGGGAATCAGAGTCCAATAGTACTACTAGCAACCGCACTCATTAAAGCCAAAACAGTGAGTGGAGGTATAGAGTATGCACGAGTACTCATCGATCAAGGCTCTCAAACATCCTTGATCACGGAAGAAGCAGCAATCCTAAGCCTAAGCCCAAGATTCCCGAGTACATTTAAGCTGACAACAAATCTCCTAGTGCTACCCAAACTAACAAGGACACTGCCTGAAAAAAGTTTTGATATAGACATGGAACAATGGCAGAACAAAGTATTGGCTGACCCAACGTTCAACAAGATGGGACCCATAGACATTCTCCTAGGAGCTGAAGAAGTGGCGAAAATACTGCTGGACGAAGTGCACAAAACAGCAAATGGATTTCTTGGCCAAAACACGGAATTTGGATGGATAGTGTCCGGGGGAAATCCTAGTCAAGATTCTAACATAAAAATAGTCAGCATGACCGCCAGATACGAAGAAGTGACATCCGACCGCATTCTGAAGAAAGAAGACCAAATAGTAGAAGATCACTTCTCCGAAAATACAAAGAGAAACCAAGATGGAAGATATTTGGTCAGAATACCCTTTAATGAAAAAAAGGATGATTTAGGATCCTCCAGACCTCAAGCCATGGCACGTTTTTTACAACTAGAAAAAAAATTATCAAGAAATGAGTGGCTGAAGAAAGAATATACCAAATGTCTACAAGAATATTTGGATATGGGACACATGACGAAATTTTCTTCCATAGATGAGGAAAAAGGAAAATACTACCTCCCACATCAAGCCGTCATCAAAGAAACAAGTACCACAAGTAAAGTACGAGTTGTCTTCGACGCGTCCTGTAAGACAACCACTGGGACAAGTTTAAATAATGCGATGCATGTGGGCTCCCGTTTACAAGAAGAGTTAATGGACATTATTCCAAGATGGAGGACTTATCCGGTGGTCATAACTGCTGACATTGAGAAAATGTATCGCCAAATTATATTACATCCAGCAGACACACAGTATCATAGAATTTTATGGCGTTTCAATCCCAACGAGCCGGTGCAAGAGTATAACTTATCCCGAGTCACATTTGGCACAGCGGCAGCGCCCTATCTAGCAGTCAGAGTGATTCAACAATTAGCCAAAGACGAAATGATCAGGTTTCCCAAGGCATCGAGAGTAACTTTGCAGGATTTCTATGTAGATGACTTAATTTCGGGAGCAGATACAGAGGAAGAAGCCCTGCAACTACAAGACGAACTCATAAGAATGATGAGTTCTAGTGGTTTCACTCTAAGGAAATGGTCCAGTAACTTACAATCCTTAGTGGAAAATCTACCAGAAGAACTTCGAGATGAAAGCACAATGGAAATATCAAACGATGAGATAAAGAAGTCTTTAGGACTATATTGGTCTGCAAGAAACGACGTGTTCCTGTTTAAAGTTGATCAGTCACAGAAGATAACAAAACGCTACATTCTGTCAACGGTAGCCAAATTATTTGACCCATTAGGATGGTTGTCACCAGTGGTAATCAAAGCCAAGCTTTTAATGCAAGATTTATGGATAGAGCAATTATCATGGGACGACAAAATTCCGAAAAAACACGAAGAAAAATGGAAGCTGTTTCATGACGAAATACAAGCATTGAAGCTGAATAGAACAAGAATTCTTACTGTATCCCAAAGCTGCACAATTATTACCCGCAGGAACGTGCTAACACCGAAGCGGATAGTAGAAATCCCTGTGTTGTCCAGCTTTACTCGTCCGGTGGTGGCAAACTTGACGTTATTAACGTCAAAACGTCATATTAAACTCCACCACGATTCCGAACAAGAACTGGTACTCAGGCCATCAGACAACCTTGTAAACATCGAAGAATTGATGATAGAAGAACGAGAGATCCAGGATAGCCTTAATGAAAATACTTGGCATAATGTCCACCATCATTCCGGCATAACAAGCGTGATAACTAGCGCTAAAGTGGTCATCCTAATAAGTACTTGGTTTGGAATAAAACAAATACAGATTTGGAGAACTCCAAAGTCACCAACAATCCCAGAAGAAATAGTGACCCTTGAACCACTGTATCCCAAAATCCAGGAGATTCGCGCCACCACTTCATCTACCCACCCTAATCCCTTGCTGGCCCAGCAGGATGTTTAATCTTAAAATTAAACAATAATTATTTAATTGACCTACTTCGGTCATCTAAGCGAACAAACCGCGTCAGCAATAACATAACAAAATACAACCTTCTAACATTAAGATGTTTGTAAAATAAGTATGTAAAATAAAATATCCCATTTGTATATAAGGAAACAATTTTATAATTAAAGTCAGTATTAACAAGACTATTGTGTTTTTACTTAACTACCCACTAGTTTCCAAGCCTTAACTGGGGCGTGAGGCTGCGCTCCGCTAGCGGGACATTATTACAAAGATTCGGGATCCTAATTAAGATCCGACTCTTTTCAGCTTGTAAATTAACCACAGTTAAGAATAAACAACAAGTCACAGGTTGAGAGACTACATGTTCAAGTAGGACTCCTCACCACCTCACAAGGACAGGAACACTCCGCATTGATACCCTGTATCACCTCCACCAGATTTGTGGCCACCATCCTGCCTGGACTTCAATACTTTTGACTTATAATGTTTGAAGCGTAGTTAAAGAGAAGGTACTTATAAACGCAAAATCTTACAACACAAAAAACTCCTAAAAACGCCAATACTTAAATTATGGCCAACATAGACAAAATGGAGGAAACTTTTTGATACAGGCTGGGGCGGGTAGTTAAAGCTTAATTAATTTAATTTTTTAGGTTTGTAAAATTATCAGTACCAATACAGACGGGCAGTCGAACAGATGTGCTCTCGAACAAACTTTAGCGCACTTAATAGTACTTAATCATAAAAAAAGTCTTAAAGAGTGTAGTTCAAGGAAAATACTGTGCGAAAT